CTCCATTAAAAAGGGTGCGACATTAGCCTGGCCTCCCAAGCGGAGGGGGGGGGGGGGTATTATAGTGGTTATATACGGATTATATAGTGGTTTTCTAGGGGATGTCTTTGGGATACATTGGGATAATGGAAAACGATTTAGGGTTTGAAGGCATGTGGTATTGAAGTGGTACCAGACTATGGTGCGAAAATGCTGGTGATAATTCTATCACACAGCAACCCCCCCCTTCCTGCTTGTGAGGATGCGAAACGTGACAGCAAGCTCCCCGAGGGCGCGACTTGCTGCCAAAAACCCTACATAGCACTTTCCGTTTTCTTTTCCATTTTCCCAATATATCCCCAATACATCCCGTATATAACCCCGATATATCCCCTGCATATTCCCTACACAACCCCAACTAGGAGGCCAGAGCTGCAGGAAGATGCAGGAAGCATTGCATGTTGGGACCCAGGTGATGCCAAAGATCCTGCACCGCCTCATCGAGCCGCAGCCCGGTCCATAAAATTGTGTAATCTGGACATCGGGTGCTTCCATGTGCTTCCAAGAATCCTAACATTCACTGCATCACATTTAGGTACCTCTGTCTCTAACTCTAACTGCGCATGGAGTGGTTTGCGCACACTTGCCTTCGAAGCGGGGGATCAACAAGTGCAGAATCACCTGCACGCTTCAATCCCGAGAGTCAATCTTGATGGTGATCCTGATTGTCAGGGGTCTCATTTCAAGGAGCCTGGGTAATGGGTGCAGCCGGATGTGTTTGCTGGGCTTGTGAAGGGAAGGTCGGCAAGTTAATGGGAGGATGGGTGCTCTTGCTGTGAATTGCAACTTTAGTGCATGAGGTCTGTGCTGTCCTTCATCCGTTTTGGTCGCTTTGACTCGGCTCACACAGAGGACCCTGCCTGAACCCTTTAACTTTGCTGTTCGGATCTCGTGCGTTGGTGAAGCAGCTCCAGGGAGGGGCGGCCCTGTAGGACCGAAGTGACCTGGTTCAGCTCCGAAGCTCTCAGCAAGACATCTTGGTTGATATGCCCCTGCCTGAGATGCCAAGATGCTGAACCGACAAGGTTAGCTGCAGGTAGCTTGGGCGCGAGGTACTGCATAGCCGCAGCGACACCAGAAGCGCAGCTGGTGCTGAATGGCTTGCTGCCTGGTGGCACAATGTGGTTTGAGATATCTTCTTGGTACGGCACTTGCAGGACACACAGCGCACCCTTGTAGATCCGAGGTTTAGCAACCTAGAGAAGGCCGAGTCCGCACGGGACTTGCTTGGCATGGAGGTGGTCTGGTATGCATTCCAAGGCCCGCCGTGAGAAGAGATCCGAATTTCACTTGCTCAGAAGCCTTAGCCCCTGCAAAGGGATCGTCGAAGTGTTGGCAGATGAGCCGGCCATCCCGGAGGTCTACCACAAAGTCCTGCCAACCGTGTTCAGAGAACTCTGGAGGCATTTCAGACTGTGTGTAGTAAATATTAAGCAAGCATACTGGCAAACGAAAGTTCTTCAATGCATGTACGATGTTATGCATTATTGACTCAAGGTTTCGTATGTGCATTAGTTTCCTGCTTTGATGTTGCATTCTCATATATCGGACACATTTTCGGCAATGACTGCAAAGGGATGATTATTGAAAATATTTCTGTTGTTTGATATGTGCCCCTGTTCGACTATGGTATTTGGTACTCACAAGAACTGGCAGAGTCCAAAAAGCAAAGAGGCCGCAACGAGCCCTGGACATCCCTGGACATGTTTACTGAGGTATCCGGCGCACCTGCAGAAGTCCTTTCGACTGGGGCGGCGTTACTTCGAGGCTGGTCCGCCAGGGGCGGATGGGAAGCGTTCTTAGCTCAGTAGCGCCTAGACCACTTCAAGCTACTTGCATTTCATATCTGCAGACCATTATGGTACACATGTAGCATATCATGCTAGAGATAATATTCGAAGAGCGTGCTTGCAAGGATAGTATAGAGCAATGGGAAGGCTGGTGCGGGTGGTTGGAATAGCGCATCCAGGCTGTGGCCCGCACTTCGAGCAGCGACTCCAGGTGGAAACAGAGTTCACCGTAGAATGGTCAGGGCGGTTACCACCTTGCTATAGTCGTTGGCTGGCGTCTTTGGAACAGTCAGGACTCACCATCACTCGGAGCGAACAAATTCTGAAAGGCATCTTCAGCCACATAGATGCAGACCTTGAAATATTGAAATTGAGATATCGAAGTGACTCTGCTTTAGGGCTACAAGCTTAGGTCCATGTAGCCTTCTGTGCTAGATGAGCCGCGTTGAACTAGCACCAGCTGTTTCCTAGGAGTTTCTCCATTCAGAAGTTGTCGGGGCATGCGGGCCTGTCTGTCTTTTCAAGGGTTTGCATTGATTGCAATTCGGAATATGCCCCCTGTGGGCCTTGCCCGGATGAAGGTGCACCTGGCGCCTGCAGTGCAGTGGCTCATGTCCGTCGTGGCACAGATTCCGGTGGAAGCCAGCGAGGTTATCCAAGAGCTTTGCGGGCACCTGGTTCAGCAGATGGATGGGACAAGCTTTGCTGTAGAATTGTCTGGTGGGTCCTGGCATGCGTGCGCAAATTCTGCAGCTTGTGCTTGATGTTGCATCAGGTATGCTGGCAAGCTCCTCCTCCCGCATGTTGAGGAGTTCCTCAAAGTAGTTTCTCAGGCCGTTGCTTGTAAGTCCGTTGCGCAGAGGTGCTGTTGTGCTGCACGCAGGTTGCAACATCAGCACCAAGCGAAGTTGACGCTTCGCTTCATGGCGCTTTGGTTGGCATCACGTGCCCTGGGCCTGAATTCCTGTGAAAGGCCTGTCACGACATGTCACGACGAGCCAATGCCAGTCCACCTCATTGCCTCATTGCTTTGCACCAGCTGAGGCGCAGCCTTCCTGAGGAACAAGCCGCCCTCGCCTTTTCGAAGATTTGCGATGGTGCCTGGAATGCCTCCAGTTGACTGGTGGGAGAAGCCCCAGAGCCGGGAATTTGTTGTGCTTGAAGCCATGCCATGCACCCACATCATCCAAAGTCAGGGCTCAGTACGGTGTAAAACCTGTCTTTTAAGTACGAGCAGCCCTGGGTTCGCATGGCATTGACCCATGCAAGGTGCTGGAGTCCTGCTCAAGGGTGGCCTTGACGTGTCCAGCGAAGCGGGTGCCTTGCTTGCAAGCCTGTTTCCAAAACCTTGAAGCTTGTCAGCCCGGCGTTTGACTTAGGGAAGTCTTGGCGCCATGATGTCTGCAGGCCGATCCAGTTTCCACCGCGTGCTTTGCCGCTTACTGCGCTGCGTTACGGTTCCTTGGCAGCTTGGTGAGAGTTGTTGCGGTGGTTGCAAAAGAGTAAGAAGACCTAATAGGAATCACGGGCTTCAGGTTGCAGAGGAAGCTGGCGCAGCGCCCACCACGCCGGGTGTCACTGAGGCAGCCAGGACTGGCCGTTCCAAATACTAAAGCCATCCCCTTGCTTTGCTGTTCAGGGCATTCTCGCCTATGCAAGGCTTAAACTGTTTACAACCTCCAAAGATCCTGAACCGACGGGACTTGGCAATGCTTGCACTGTGAGCTGAAGTGTGTTGTCCAGGACGGCATCACGGTGTTTAGCCAGCCGCTTGGCTGCACCAAACGGGTGGCCGGTGACCCGTTTCGTGTCCTCATTTCAGTCTAACCAAGGATTCCTGCTCATGCACTGGCCACTTGTCAGCCATTTCACCGCGCAATGTTGTTTTCTAAAGCCTGCCTCGTGCTGAGCAGCTGAGTTTTCTTGTCGCTGTGACACAAGATCAGCGCTCAGCGGAACAAAGAACAAATGTCAAATCAATTGTCAGCACGTCATAGGTGTTCGTGGCTTGCGAGTGTTTTGTGGTGCCGTCATGTACCGTGTCTCATCTGGAAATGGACCCTGGATTAGCAAATACAAGGTTTGCCCAATCCCAACTATTTGGCTCGAGTTTTTCTTGATTACCTGAAAGGCCCCCCCCCAATTTGGAAAAACCCTAATCCCCATAAACGCCGGGTGCCATTTCATGTTCCATTTATCTTTCCGTTTTACTCTCCATCATTTGGAGAATGTTCCCTATACATATATATATATCTGTATATATATATATATACATATATATATCCCTGTGTAACCCCCTGTACAATCCCATACATATGTGTATACAGATATATACACCAGTTTCCATTTAATTTTACATTTGCTTCTCCATTTGAGTATCCAGTATTGGGCATGGTAGCCCCATATATCCCTACATCATCGGTAAGTGGTAGTTTCCATGTTCTTTTCCGTTATCCGTATGTAACCCGGCCCTAGACAATCCCTAATTATATCCCTATACGACCCATATATAAATCTTAATTACATCCCACATATACTCCCCATATAATCATATAAGGGGTCCCACCTGGCTCAGCAGCCGAGGGCATCCATCGCGCCTTTGAGCCAGGCGCTGCTGATGGCAGCGCCAGCCACAAAGGATGCAGCAAAGGGAAAGCCCATCTTCGAGTACTCGGATGCGGCTCGACCAAAGTCTGCGGTTGCCCCTGGGCCCCTGGGATTAGGATCATATGATGAAAGATGAGGTCTGGATTGTCACTTTGCTTCCTGAACCTACTTGTATGCCACCGCTTCTTGTTCTAAAGTGAGCGTTTTCAGGATTGTGCGGAGTGATCTTCACTAATTTGCGGCACCAAGCAGAGGACAATCTCATCACCTCTGTGGGCTAATTACGCGGGTCAGGTGCTGCATTTCCCACGGAGCACCAAGGTAGTAGTCACAATGGTCACTTCAACCATCTTCTCTCAAGGTGACTCCTGTGTCCTCAGGCTTGTGAACTTAAACAGGCTTCACATGTCAGTAGGGCATGCATTGGCGAACGTTTCGGATTATTTTCTCTTAGAAGTCTGGGTGAACATGTGCCTGAAGGCGCTCCCTTCGGACAATATATGCTGAAAATCCAAACCCATTTAATTACTTGTGGCTGCTTCACATTCGCCATCCTGAAGCCTATGCGTGGAAGCACCTGACGCTGTATGTCAACATAACGCCCATGAGCCCACGAGACAGCCTCCTACTCGTAGCCACGAGTTTGTGCAATGTGTTTCCTTTCTTTCCCTTCTGACTCGACATTTGTTTCTCCAGGTGGCTGTGCAGGTAAACGTTCTGGCGCTGCTGCGCCGAGCCGCACGGGCAGCAGCCGAGGCGCCCGAGGCGCAAAGGGATCCTGGCGTACTTTTCCAGCTGTGCATGTCCTGACATATCAAAGGCACACTCCCTGAGACCCCCTAGCAGCAACGTGTATGCCAGAAGAACTCTCTTACCTGCAGGCCTTGCATCGAGCTTGTTCCAGCTGCTTCTGCCTTTCAGGCAACGCTTGCAGAGGGGCTGGCTTCGTTGGCGGTGGCCTGCTGTAAGGCAGGCAGCTCTTGCTGTGGGGAATGAATAGCCGAGGTGGACACACTCTTGAAACACGCGCAGCCTATGAGAATTGGATAGTGGACATAGATCGAGGTTCCGTCGTGTATTCGTTCCAACCCGTCCTGGATGGTTACTCGTGCGTGGGGCTGGGGTGCTAAGCTCTCTTAGACCCTTGTGATGCGGTTTCAGGGGCATGTTGGTCGCATTCTTTAAACTTTAAGTGCGTGCAGTTTTGACATCGCTGTCACCAGCCGTCAGCTAACGACAGGCTATTTCAGAAGCACTGCGTCAATGTGGGGAACCCCTTGTTAGATTCAGGGAGCACCTTCACTCAAACGTGGCCATGTGGAAGGAAGGGCAATTGGCACCATTGGCTGCCCTGGCGCAGCTGTCATCAAATCCTGATCTGGCTCGCAGCCAAGTGATGCCGCACTTAGCATCTCGGTGCCAAGCTTTTGTTGACAGGAGTCTCCTGGCACCGCTGCGCGCGCACGTAAGGGTTCATAGCTGGAGCTGAAAGCACTTATCCCTCCTGGTCAACTTAGACCTCGCGCAGGATATCAAGAAGTAAGCCTTTGAATCATGGGGAGACCACATCTGCTGAGGATGTCATCTCCTCTGCGTCCTTGCGCTTTGGCTGCAGAAGCACTAGCCATTTTGAGGAGGAAGGGGGCGAGGAGGAGCAGGAGAAAGAGTAGTAGTCGTCGCGGAAGCAATAGCGAGCAAAGCGTAAGCGGCTAATTACGAGAGGTTTCTAACCTACCTCATATCCTACACGGTTCCTGGCGTCCCTGCAGCACACCCCTGAAGGCAAGCGCGATCCTCCAAGTGACCCCACCGGTTTATGTTTGAAGCACTGCCAGGGATGCCTCTGCCCTCATGATTCTTACTAATTCTTCTGTTCATATTGCTACAGCTTGTTGCTTCTATGGCTGCTGGTGCTCTTGATTCTTCGATGGCAAGATGGCAGTGATGACGACTATTGCTGCTACCACCAGCGGTAACAAATGCTGCTCTGTTGCTGCTACTAGTACTGCTTACTGCTGCAATTACAGCTGCTGCCGCATCCCCTCACTTTCTGGCAGTACTTGCAGTTGTTGGTCGCGCATAAAGATTCCCGAAAAATGCAAGAATATGCGGCAAGACACAAGGAACGAAAACTTGACAAGTTTCGATGCACTTGTTATTTTCACAGACCCAAGCTATGTACTCCAGAGAGGATCAGCTTTTTAGTTTAAGGATGTGCAAGTCGGGCAAAGTCAAGCCAAAACTGCTAACGTTTCACGAAGCCCCAATGATGTCGCAGAGGACACACATACAGAAAGGGCGCGCTGCAGAGGACCGCTTTCGGAGCCTTCCAGTAGTTCTGCTCCATTAGTCTGCGCCCTCAGCCATCATACTTGGCAAGAGCGGCCCATGGGATGGGATGTGACTGTTTGCCAATGGCATTATGTGAAGCTCTGCCGCTGACAGGACTTGGTCCCTTTCCTGGATCTTTGCTCCTGCCTTGCCGCAGCTGCAGGCCATTAACTTTTGTATGCTTTGTAGTCTTCATATAAATCATACATAATCATACGTAGCCATTCAATTCTTTCAAATATCTATATACATATACGCATTGACTTATGAAATTTACTGCCCCCGTCCCCAATGCCTTCGCTCAATTGAGATGCTTTGCTTTCTGCACCTGTATACGTCCTATGGTGTGCAAGCTCAGTTGTTCAGAGGCAGTGCTTTTGAGCTCTCAGTGTGTAGACATGCAAGAAGGTAGCATTGAAAGAGTGCGGCAGCAAATATCTAATTCCACGATATAGTTCAGGGGGATTATGCGTTCAAAATGTCCATGCATCTCAATTGTAGCCTTCGGACGACTTGGTCCTTCACAGGTTGGGTGGAGGTGGCTAAGGACTTGGTGATCGCTTGTGAGCTTGAGGGAAATTCTGGGACACTGTTGGTTTCCTACCGGTCCTGGTAAGAAACGTTCATTTTTGTCAGAACGATGTTCAGTTTTTTGGGCAGGTGACGCGCTTTTTGCCTCTCCTCAGGTGACTCGGCTTGGGATGCAAACCCCTGCAATCCAAGAAAGATGTAGGCAGGCCATGAGGGCTACCGGCGAGGTTTGAGGCCGAGACTTTTTCACGCCTGCAGAGTGCAAGTTCTCGAAACATGCGCGAAGAAATCCAGTGCAAGAATCAACAGCATGCGTACATGACGCTGAGCAAGTGCAGGGACTGGAGCTGGTTCCAGGTCAGGAATTTGAGGTTTACATGGGTAGAACAAGCGAGTTCGAGCTCGTGAACACCCTCGCTCCTTTATGCTACAAGGTTCCGCCGCTGGCGCAGCTTTCGGTAGCCGCGCTTGCTTCCTCAGAGCATTCCCGGCCTGTCCAACATGGAGAGCTTGAAGTAGCAATGATTCATTTCTATCAGCAGGAGCGGCGGTAGTTGCTGTTGTAGCTGTAGCAACTGCATAGGTAGTAGCGGCGGTAGTAGTAGAAGAACCAGACAGTGAACCATAGAGAAGCAACCTGTGTCGCGGTGCCAAGTTTCAAAAGTGCACAGCGGTTTTCGAGTTTGCAAAATGGGTTCTTGTATTGCTCATACAGCATACGCCGAAAGCCAGGCATGATGTGCTGAAGCCGGTGCTCGTTTTTCTTCAGCGATTGCTGACATCCCGAGCTCTCTCCTTGGGAGAAGGCTCGGAATAATGAGATGTCCTGACACCATCCCACGCCTGCGGTCAAAGGGCATGTTCACCATGCTTGCCAAAATTCTTCCAACGGTTTTTGCCTTCCATACTGTACCCGGCAGGCGATGTCTCCAGCTTGGCACAAGCCATCTTTGCCCACTTCCATGCGTGGCCCAGGCGCTCATTCGCGGTAGTTTAGCTGCCATGTGTTGGGCCCACGGGCTTGTGCATGGTGTTGCAAGGGCTGCCACTGCCGACTTATCCCATGGGCACTGAGGGACTGAGAGTCTGTTGTGCCGCACAAGGAGCATGAATGCCCAGACCTTCAAGGTTTTCTCTGCGCTGGCCGAAAGCATCTCTTCCCAAGCAACAGTGAGGTCAACAAAAGCTTCAGCAGTTGAATGTTCCTGTCGTCAGTGGTGATATTGCATGCTTTGCAGCTCTGCTCCTGCATGCATACAATCCTTGCTTCCATTCATTCTTCTCAGCGACAGCCCAGGACATGAACAGGTCTACATGTCTACCATTGCGGCTGCCCTGGGTGCACCGTTTATGGCGCAACTGTCAGCTGCGGACAGGCCCTTTGTCCGGATTCCGGACGCAAGTAGGACGGTCGGCAGCATGAATATCAGGAGACAAGAAGCTCGACTTTGTGCGCTTTTGCGCTAGCACTGCTGCATACACTGGCAGGCAATGGATCCCCGCTTGTCCCTTCTACCTCCTATCTCCCTCGACAAAAGCAGTCTACTTGAACCTGCCGCGCATGGAATCATCTTTCTACCTGCAATGCTTGACCCAGTCGTAATGCATGTGCCTTGAGCATACAAGTGGTAAAATTCGCGACTCGAAGCTCGTACACGTACATACGTGCATATGCGCATAGATGTATATACACACACAGACCAGCAGGCATATGGACTACCCCTAAGCCTCGAAGGCTACTGGCCCAGCAGGGCCTTGCACGTCTTCGGGGTCCAAAGCTGCGAGCACTTCTGGGGGACCTGGCCATGCTGGCGCGCGGTGAGGTGGGATTGGGATTTGTAGGGTTTAGGGTTTAGGGTTTAGGCGTAGGGTTTAGGGTTTAGGGGTAGGGTTTAGGGTTTTGGGTGGGGGTATTACCCCATACGACGTCTAATAATGGAAAATCAAATGGACAAGAAAATGTTAAACGAAATAGAAATTTCTACATATAGGCTTTTCTAGAAAATACTCCCCAAAAATGGAGAACCAAATGGAAAAAACATTGACAATTAAATGCAAATTGGGATTATGGAGTCAGAGGGATGTTATGGCTTTATATTTGTAAAAATGAAAAAACACGCAGAATGAAATGGACACTTGGTTTTGTACACTGCATTATTGGTATTGAATTTTCCGAGAATGATGAGTCCCGACAATAAGGACTTTGTCATATTGGGGGCTATATATTGGGACCCCCCATAGGTGGAAATTTCCAGGTGTCAAGTTCATGGACAAGGCTTCCAATGAGATGTTTGAGAGGTTTCTCTTGGGTTTGTTTTGGTTCCTTTGGAGGGTAGATCTGCCAAATACCAGAAGACATCTGTTGCATACATGAAGGTTTGGGAGAATCTAGTGGAAAATCAAGACTACTTAGAGTTGGCTTCATGGTTGGGAGCTTGGGGCCTTCAAGCCTCAGCCCAAAAAACATCCTTTGAGTATTGGCGGTTGCTTAAGAGCTTGTCACTTGGAGCAGGAATCATAGGTTATTTGATGGTCGCGGCGCGCAACATGTGCAGAAGTGACTAAGTGTTGCGTACAAAGAAGCAGCAAGCTTAGCTTGGGAGAGCTCTTTGACAGATGCTTTCGCGTGGGAATGGGGCTTGCGTTACTGGCAGCGAGCACATGCCATTTGATATGCTTCACCGAGGCCAAGCCAGTGAATCACAACCGCCCGTGTTGTAGCCTAGCCCACTGGAAATTCCGTAGATATCATGAGGCACATTGTTGAGTGCAGCAGAAGCGGACTAGTTGACTTGTGCAGTGGCTTTACGTGCCCCAGGTGTTGTTTCTCTTTGTTCTCGTGCCAGGCTGTGGCGGATGTACTCCAGAGTTATGCAGACGGCGGCTGACGTGCCAAAACAAGCTTGAAACGCGTGGGGTTTGAGGGCAGCATGCTTTGTGTGTGTGTGTTTGTTAAAGACTGGCGGGCCTCTGCATGTAAAATGCATGCGCTTGGAGTTTGCGAGTTGCTCTTACCGGTGCGTGTCTGATGCTGTGGCAGTATCACCTGAAGGCTGCAGTCAGGATTCACTTCAGACACCATCTTGCTTTAAGGTTGGTAGAAGACGCAGCCTTGACACGGGCCTTCACCCTGTTCAGTTCACTAAGAAGGGTGATCTGGCGGCACCCCCCCCTCTGATAATGAATCTTGCAGAACCGTAAAATTCTGGAAGACTACTGCTAAAAAGGTCAAGACTGTTTCTCAAAAGGAGCTGTTTGGAAGGTCCCGAAAAGAAGGCTGAGACGGCATTCCAGATTTCTTCTTTGATTTCTTGCAGAATGGTGTTTGATTTTTGTAGTAGTGTTTCCATGAAGAAAGTGGTATAACATCAAAAGAATGCAAAGGAGATCCGCTTGGACATAAGCATTTCCTTGACTTGGCAGGTAAGTCCTTGAAAGAAGTATCCTCTCAGCCGTGAGGGAAGTAATCTTGCAGCCCAAGTGCTACTTGTGGTTCGTGGCGTGTTTCTTAGTGTTCGTATCAAAATCGCAGCTGTGCCGGGAGGATGCCATCGACGTTTTGAACGATCAGTATAAGCCGGATGCTAAGAGCGCAGGGAGCGGCAGCACCGAAGCAAGAAGCTGCGCCAGTTAATGAGTTATGATCCTAACGGCTCATCCAGTTCGTAGTGCAATACTACGGGTAGTCCCACGGTATGATAAGCAGGCTTACAAGGCAAGGCAACATCATTCTTGTGGTAAAGCCCCGCTGGTATCTGGTGCCAAGTAGTACTAGCCCTGAAGCTGCAATTGGCTGCAGTCAGGATTAGAACAGACGAGCAGTGCAAACCCATGAAGGCAAGATTTTGCTGTATGCAGCCTGTTCGCCTTGGTGCATGAGCATGCCATGAAGTATCTGAGACGTAAGACACGCAGTTTCATTTGCCTGCTGCATCCTGTTGAGACGCAGACTTTGAATCATGTGGCTCAGTCATGTTCTAGATTGAGCGTGATTGCTCCGCTGCCTTTCTACCTCAAGGAGTTAGAAAGACAGCCCAGAACGGCTGTCAGACATGGCAAGAAAGGAGGCGCTGCAACGCTTTGCCATGCAAATACGTTATGCAGCTTGCTATCGCCTGTCCCAGGCTGTGTTGCAACAGGCTGTAATCAGTCACTGCAAAAAACTGTGCAGCATGACTGGCTGGCACTGCTCTTAGCAGGCTGGCCTCCACCAGATCCAGGGTTCGTCTCGCCTGTTTCGGGAGCAGCTGGGCTTTGCACAGTCTGCATGCTCTTGCAAACTACAACCGGTCCATACCGCCTCTCAGATCTGCCGGATCCCAAGGATCTTTCAGGAGACCAGCAGCGGAGACTTCGGCATCCACATAAAGGACCACAGGGGTTGATGGTGACAAGCGTGCAGCTGGGGTGATTCTGACGAGGTCTTCTATGTATTACCTCAAAGGCAAAAGCTCGATACACCAAGGCAAGCTCTGTACAATGCATGTGTGTACACGACCGAACATCCCAATCCTGTTTGAGCAGTAGGCAGAGCAAGTTCTCAAGCTCAAGGCTGTGCATCAGAAGCAATCTTGATCCCATGTTCAGGATGGCCCCCTCTTCCGATGTCATACACGCACCTTGGAAAGATTGTATGTGTGAGTGACAGACAAGCAAAAGTCGCGGACGGGTGCTATACTGCAACTCCCCGTAGCATGACAAGCCAGCAAGTTTGAGGACCTTCTACATGTATGTAAGTATATTACAGCACGGTTAGCTTGTTTTTTGGCATTGCCCTAGCCCAGCAAAATTGTAAAGGCATCCTGGACACTTCTGGTGGCTTCTGCGGGAAAATCCGCCGCTTGACAAGCAACTGGCAGCAACTTTTGCACGTTTTGCGATGAAGCTACTAGTTAGTAGGAGATTCCACTTGTTGTCCTTTTCCACTTGTTGTCCTTTTCATGTTTTGACAGATTCGCACAAGAACAGTAGGATTGCTTGGTTTGGATTTCCTTTAGCCAGGTCAGTTTGGCAAGCTGATGAGTCGGAATGCTGACCATGATGAAATTCCAGCGCCCAAAGAGTACTTCAAGCAGATGGGCTGCTCATTTGCAAGTTGGCCCCTGGCCATGGGCCATGCATGTGTCGTGGTGTCAATGTTCCAGCCAGGCTTCCCCTGACGCTTTGAAACGTGGATAGTTTCTACAAGCCCCAACAAGCCCAAAGCCCAGAGACGGCAGATGCGTGAGAGAGAGATCCTATCAGCACAACTCAGGATACCATCGTCTTCTGGCAGATCTGCAGTCCATCCAATTCTCACAGCCCATTGATAGATCTGCCACTTGTCGCAAAGCGCCTTAAAGGAACATTCCTTAAATCATATTAGGGATGACGGTCCATGTAGGGTACATTCCTTAATGAAGGGGGTTTTGGGATCAGGTCAAAGAGGCCCTTTCAGGCGGGTAAACACTAAGTAAAGTAGACTCCTCGTTGTAGGGACCATTTTTGCTTGGAAACGTGAACCCCAATATCCATTTTATGTTGCATGTTCTCTTCCATTTGCTTGAAGTCCACTTTGATTGTTGTCACGCACATGCCATGCCAACAGTGCGTGGGGTAGAAGCTCACAGGTTTGAGTTGCTTTGTAGTGTACACCCACACTCCCTGGAAAGAGGATGTCTGCAAGAGAGAGGCATTCTGCGCATACCATTGGGCAAGTCTGTTTTCACAGACCCTAAACCCTAGCTTCAGAACCTTGGGTTGGCTTTTGCCATGTTCAGTGGTTGTCCTGGACTTGGCTTTTGCAATTCCATTGGACATGTTCAAGCATCAAATTTAGTATAACCCCCAGTATACAGACCCCTCAAAAGTGAGCCCCAATTTTTTTACAAACTCAGAACTGTCTCGTTAGCGCTCACTTGGGCTCCCATCTCATCGATCCACCCCTTCGGACGCTCAGATTCTGGCTGGGGGGATCACTGCCACCATCGCTGGAAAGCGCGATGATGCCTTGAAGCCAGGCAGGGTGCCCCAAGTGCAAGGCCTTGTAATGCAGATGCTTGCATGTTGGAGAAAACAACTCCCTCAAAGGTTCGATGTGCTCACATCATACTTCCCAAAACTGATCTAGCTCGAATATTTATGCATTCAGGTCTATAAATCATGTGGGCTAAGGCTTAGGAGCATCTTGTGGTCATCCTGGTCAGCTCAGAAGGACGTTCATCGATCACGCGGTTTTGAGGGTTTGCATTTGAGGTCGGCCATGGATGTATGGTACCAACTAACTGCTTACCTTTCCAAGGTCCGACCTTTCCATCTGGGAGGGGTCCTGCTCAAGGTTGCAACACGTGCTCCAGGATTTTTGAAGTGATAGCGACGCTTGGTCTCAGCAAATCTGTGCCGGAAACCCGCAACCCTGCAACTGCTCTGCGTCACGAACTTACGGCCTATACTGAGCTGCACCGAGACCTTATGGGCATAATTTGTTCACCTTGTATCCTATGGTGCCACGCCTGTTGAGAAGCGGAACAACACATATGTCAAGTTTTAAGCTGGATTGCTGGTGTTCTCATTTTGGCTGCTACTGCTGTATGTTGAAACATGGCCCCAGGCTTCTCCACAGCGCATTTCATAGGCGGCACCATTGGCACCAACAAGCGTGCCGCGGCCTTCGCAATGGCTATCTCTGTCGCCTCCAGGGTGTATCCCCAAAGTTGAGGCTCTTTTTCAGGGATCCTCTCGTTCAGGGCGTTGAGGTGGAACGATTTTTTGAGACACATCCAGTGAAAAAGGCTGAGCGGAGCCCCTGTTTTGGCATTTTCAGATGGGACCAGCTGCGTGCTACTAGCATCACAAACAACTATCGAGAGGTTCCGGCATACGCGTAGGTAGCGTGCGGGTACTCAATTCTGGGATGTGGAGGTGCTGATCCGTACCGTGTTCCAATGAGTGCTTTTTACTGGGCAATTTGAAGCGACCTAACCCCACCTCACCCTAAATGGTGATTTATATAGGGAATAGTACCAGTACGACCTTAAATTGGGAATTGAAATTGTTCTAAATTACCCTGTTTTAAGATTCTGGTTGATCCAGCAAAGCGAGCCATGTACCACTTGCAGTACCCTGGCTGAAGAGGTGCCGATCCTTTTTTCCTAGCGGTTGCTTGGCTTGCAGTCAGCTTGAGGCGGTCGAGTATATAGTGAGACACTTATCGCATACGGTATAGAAAAACACCTGCGGCGTGGCGCGTCACCGCATTTCACTTTCAGAAGCAGGCCAGAATCCTTTCTGGTTTCAGGATCACTGAAGAACTGTAGGCTTGTACCACTTTCATGTTGATTTGCCTCGCACTAAGGAAAGGTACGAGATTCAGTGCGATTGCGCAGCTTGGTAAACTTCTGTGTTCTGCCCGAGTTTGTAGTAGACATCTGCAGCTGCAAAGGGACTCGTGACTAACCCCCCTGTAGCTTGAGAGAAGCGCACTCTGAGTGGAAGGCATGCAGATTCAACAGATGCATCGAATGTTACATAGTCCTGCAAGACTTTGCGGAACATGCCAAGTGGGAGGAGAGTGTTTATTGTCTGGATGGAAGGGGATGTCCAATGCAAAAGTGTTTGAGCCTCGAAGCCGCGTTTGATGACCCAATTGTTGAGGAACTCATGGCGGAGCTTCTGCGGTTCATTTATTGCGGTCATGCCCTTAGCAGTTGATGGCCAGTGCACGAAAGAAACGTCATGCAGTGATGCGGATTGGGTCCTGTTGGACAAGCCATTCCTGATCTTCTCAGCCGCACGAAGAACGCTGAGGCGAGATGTCCTTCTTTCAGGAACAGACTGACAACGACAAGGCAATCACACCCCATCTTCAGTAAACGTTGATACTGTTGATGGGTAGACTCCTGCAGTGTGGGATGCTATACTTCATGGAGTTTCACGCATACCGTGGCCTTCCAGTTGCTGAAGAAGTGCGTCCCCCTTGCTTCCTTGGCGGGCGAAGGCAAATGAGATCCTAACCCAGAAGATGCTGGCCATTTGCTACTCAGATGCAGTGCTTTCCCTGAGCAAGCTCTTGTCCTCCACTATTCAGAGGCAGCAAGAGCCCTAGTTCGCCAGAGTGCTTGGTGGAATTCAGTAGCCTTGAACTCTCAACAGGTTTTTTGGCAAAGGCCGCCACCTGTGCGACAGAATTTGTCCAAGGTTTCGAGGCCGAGCGCTTCTCGGTGGATGCCTTGTACGAGAATTTGCTGAATTGGTTTGGCAGAAGGACAGGTCTCGCAAGCACGATCAGATCTGGACTGATTTTGGAACTTTTCATGCGTGACTAAAGATATCGAGGCAGCCAGTTTCTTGTCTTCGGCGGGACGGCTGTCGCATGTTAACTATTTGTGCACCCAACCACATTTAGGCTGCGGCGTTGGATATCGAGTTGTTTGCCACCTGGAGTGGGCGATGTGGATTCGTTTTCGCCAACTGATGCTCAGTTCTTTGTATCTAAATACGTATCCGCATGGATTGTTTCACGATTGCGCGAGTTAAGCGTCGTCTTCGCGAGCTTTCCAACTATGAGTCGTAAGTGCACTATGAGCAATGGCAGGAGTTTCTTTGTGGTCGGGGAGCTCAACTTCGCAGATGCGTTCTCGCCTCAGCCAACCAAACCAATGCTAGAAGCGGCTGCGCGGCGCGATGTCAGTGACAGTCTGACAAGAGGCGTTCAGCAGTTAGACGTTAAACATGTAAAGGACAAAGCGAGGCCCTGCTGAGTTTGCTCGAAATGTGAAGGCCGCAGATGACACATAAGCGCACATTGAATTGCGAATAGCATGTTATCCGGACATGAGACTGCCAAGGTTTTACCATCTGCAGCACTACGAGCATCGTGCTACAGAGAAGCATTCGCGAGACGCGTGGTGCCCAGGAGGCTGAAAGCAGGCACATCCAGACTGCTCCAGGCCTTCGGCCAGACTTCGTAGTGATTGCACTCAGGTCCTCATCACAACGCTGCCTGGATGTCTAAGAAAAAGAGGAAGAAGAAGAGAAGACTTGATGCAATGTGGGATTGCCAAAGTTGATACCGAAGTGTGGTGTAAAAGGCCAAGCAGCTTCGATCGCCTGACCTTGCGCAGCTTAGGCTCGCCACCGAGATGGTGTCAACCCGAGAGCAGTTTCGGGCTGTGACGCGGGACCCTCGATGGTGCCGCTCGGCAGCAGAAATCTGATCAAACACAATTCGCAGTTTCCCAGTCCTTTCCTCATATAGTCATTTTCACAATGATAACGTTCTGCTCTGCAATACAAGCCTGACTCCATGTACAAACTTGCAGCATGATGCATAAACTGTAAGCAGCAAAGTCGGGATACGTCACGTGCAAGTTGTTTGTTTGCTGTTATTGGAATAGCGGGCTGCATGCAAGGACGGGGCGGGGTCACGGCGCTCACATCAAATGTTTTCTGGTAGCTGAGGTTCCTTGCCGGTATACTTTGTGGCTGCTTGGCACAGACTTTGATACTCTCTTGGGCTGATAAAACCTGATCAGGAACACCGGGAAGCTGAGCAGTGGCTTCATGCAAAGACATAGACAAATCAAGGCTTGTGCACATTTATTGGGCTTTGTTGCTTTGAGAACCAGAGTAGAAATCGCAATACACGTCAGGAGAGCCTTGCATACATGGGCCACATGCTTGATGAGGAAACCATTCTCAACTATGAGCGCCTTCCCATAGTCTCAGAGACGGAGATTTTAAGCGGCTTGCTTTGCAGTGAGCTTCGGATACCCGTGTTGCTTTGGGGCGATGGGATTTGGGTCACGTCGGTCGATCCCAGGTCTCATTGAGCGGTGGAATGCGACAGCTGACAAAGAGAAGTCCGTTGCAAGGCTGCATGCAGGCTTTAGTGCTGACAGAAGCCCTATGCTGCTTTTCTTGTTCATTACCGGAGTGACTGCACTGTAGACTACGTTTGTGGCCCGGGGTTTATCAAGAAGCCTTCCTGCATGAAGGCCGCAAGACCGAGCCCCCTGCTGTACCATATTACGAAATGTTGAGGCTTTTCAGCGTGAATGAATAAACCGTCAGATAAAACTTTGCCAAGAGCCGAGGACATTGTTCGGCTTCTGGCATGTTTCAGGCAGGACCCCATGCTGCACAATCCACTCTTTCTATTACCATGTGTGCTGTGTCTACCATTACCCACATTACTACTATTAGTATTCCTATTACTACATACTACCACTGTTACTTTTAGGAGTATGATTACTCTGGCTACCATTATTCTGACGTTTGCATGACATCAGGCCTGGCCAAGACTCACGGGCAGCCATGAAGAATTGGTTTTCCAGCTGCACAGAAGCGAATTTAGTGCTTCTTTTGCGCAATTGAACGCGTGAAGCATTGTATGTGGCGTTCCAAGGCTCTCGTTGATGGGCTGGGTGGACGAGTCAGGTGCACCAACCTGCTCTCGGGGGACCCTGAAGCATGGTTCATGCGTGCAGTTAGCTCCAGGCAACGTCGTTCCAATTCCTGGGCTGGAGGGCTTGGAGCACATCGTCAGTGGCACTGCGACAAGAGGCCGCGTGCCCTTTTGCATGTGCACCTATGGCGTTGCAACCAAGATGTGCATCATCATGCTGTATCTTCTGGCTGGTAGGCAAGAAGCCTCGCAACCACAAGAACGAGATAGCTGACGTCACAGACCTCACAAAGGCATTCCCTGCTTCATGATATACTGTGAAATGTAAAAGTGCACTGCGGCATGCAGCATGGAGATTGCTAGTATGGCAGCAACCGTGCTTGCGTGAAGATCTGTGATCTGGATTGCCGACTTGGTGCTTTTGCTTGGTCGGAGGCGATGATTGAGTCATTTCATTCTGACCTTCAGCCAGAAGGCAATTGTTTTTTTCTGATTGCGAGACATGTGGACAGTGCCGTCATTGTTTCACGCTAAAGCCACAGGTATTTGCACGTGTGTATGCCTGCGATTCGTTTGCGCATGGGCTGACATAGATTCAAAGCCAGGCTTTTGGACAGTTGTGTTGTACGTTCATCAATGGCCCATCTTAAGGTACTGCATATCCGATGTTGCCCATGTTTTGCCTAGATAAGACACCTCAAGCCAGCAGAAGATGGTATGCCCTAGAATGTTGCGGAAAGCTTCAAGCTTCACGACAAGTCAGACCCCGTGCCGCCCTGAAGATAAACATTTAAAAGCATTGCGCCTGCAGGCAATGATGAAGAAGCCGACGCTACGTTCCTGCATTACCGCGGAAAGAAGGCAATGAGAAATGGAGTCCTGCTTTTGGGAAACCGGGTGGGGTGATTCAAAACACTTGGCACCTCGCAGGAGTCACGCAACTTCTGGAAGTTGCATTTGAGCGTGAAACTGGCACAAACAGCTTGCTCCAGGGGAGATGATTTCGGAAAACTTGTTCAGTTCAGACCTGCTTCCGCATCCCCTCTCCTCCGCAGAAGCCAAGTTTTCCCCCCTGCAAACTGGCAGGTGCTCGCCCAAGGCTGCTCCTTCGACCTCGGTTCTGGGGAACGTTTGCTGCAGGCCGGGTGGAATGTTGCCAGCAGGATGGTAGGCCCTGTATGGTAGAGACGAATGCAGGTAAGGGTCCGTAAAGGACGAAAGGTAAATTGGGGGTAGACTGTGGATAGTTGGTCAGTTTAAAGAAGTGCTAGTGTGCGGCTGTCTCACCACTACCGGCTATCCTTGCCATGAATCTAAGTATTTTGGTGCTCCAGAGCCTTTGGCGGTGATGTTCGGCATGGTGTTGGCACATCACTCCTTTCCCTGGCATGGCGCGACTTTTCGAAGGGCTACAGCGCTACCTGGTGCACGTCGCATGACAGAAGCACAGACTGCCGTGCTTTTCCCAATGCTGCTTTCATCGATCGTTTTGGTTCAGGCAGATGTTCTGAGACACTCCGGCATTAGTCGACTTCGCGTAGCACTATCGGAGCCTTGGCTAGTGGCAGTGGGGCATCTCTTGCTTGTCAATTTCTAGAGCATCTTACAGTTCACAACTTGTCTCTGACCATGATCAGCACGGCGTTGGATGACAGGGCATCACAAAAGTGTTGCCACAACCCACGTGTCAGACGCCGGCGGCAACAACTCAGGAGCCCTCCTCTCTGCTCTGGAACCCGCAGCACGAAGTCTTCGTCGGGCTTTCATACGGCGAAGGCCCTACAGACTAGCGCACGCGTGGCACTCAAGCTTGAAAAGCCTTCAAGTCAGTTGCAGTGCGCTAGGCAGAGTTCTCAGGGGTTGCAAGGGGTGGAATCACGGCAAGCCGCACTGCTGTTTCGAGACAGCTTCAATCCAAGGAGAGAATACTTCAGCCTAACCTTTGCTGTCCCAGCAAGCGTGCTCGACAGGCAAGTACTTCGGATTCCTGTGCAGTGCGACTTCTTTCTCTGGCAGCTTGCTTCCAGCAAATAGTCCTAGCTGTAGCAAAGGCAGCAGCAGTAGTCGGCGGCGTGGTCATCGTCGTCGTCGTCGTCGTCGGCGTCGGCGTCGGCGTCGGCGTCGGCGTCGGCGTCGGCGTCGTCGTCGTCGTCGTCGTCGTCGTCGTCGTCGTCGTCGTCGTAGTAGTAGTAGTAGTAGTAGTAGTAGTATAGTAGCAGCAGCAGC